ATCCTGTGACTCATACGAGTCACATGAGTGACATTATTCGCAAATACCTTGACCAATGACATTAGAACAGTCAAAGTGACAATAAGAAGTCACAGGTATATTTTTCAGTGTGACTGCAATGTAATGCTATTGGTCACTATTCTTAAATTATCTACGTTTATATACAAACATACACATGTGTGTATGCGTGTGTGTCTGTCTGGATTAGTGTATGACAGAAAACGGTTTAGTTATCAGGAAAATAATACTACCATTCTTACTTTTAAGTGTTAGCACTTACTTCTGTCTTCTGCTTGTAGGATGTTTTGAAAATATTCTACTGGAAACTGTAGATGTATACATGTAATTATAATCACATTAAGAAAAACATATCAATTAATTGATGAGTTTTTCTGCATTTGAAGTAGTTGTAACGTAATTTCGACATACAAATTTTACTACTTACAATTTATCAGTAACCTCCAGTGTACATTTAAATTTTCCATGGTGTCCACTCTTTGTCCCCTTTATTCGAATTATGTCCCAATTCATAAAATTTGTCCCCTTATTGTCCCATTTCATCGGATTATGTCCCAATCTGAAATGAAATAAACCTTTTTTGTCCACATTGTCCCAAAAATGTCCCCTTTCTGTCCACACATTTGTCGGATTGGGAATCTACTTTCAGCTTGATTATAAAGGTGAAAACATTGCAGCGATGATCAACAGAAGGCTGAGTACATCACTAGCCATAGCCTATCCTGCAGCTAAGCTCATTCCCGTCTTTCGAACAACTTGCCCCTTGGTGCAGTCAAAAATCGATAGACATCCTTCCCATGTTAACTCCAACTGTATATACAAATTTACATGTATCTGCGGAAGCAGTTACATTGGAAGGCAGAAAGAAGGCATATCTACGATTTTCTGAACATGTACCAAAAAGCTTGCGTTTAAATGGAACAAATGCTTTAAACAGTGCCATCGCCAGGCATCTTCTTGACATGGGTCATGAAGTGGACGTGGAAAAGTCATTCAAAATTATCAATAAGCAAAAGAGCTCAATTCTCCTTAAGTTTGCTGAAACCATTTCCATCAAGCGCCTGAAACCTGATTTATGCATCCAGAAAGAAGCGGTTACCTTTGCCTTTTTTCATCCGAATCCGAATTGCTGAAAAGTTTCCATTGTGTATGATTATTATTGTTCGGAATAGTGTTTAATATTACATAAAAATATGTATATATTATTAGTGTTTGCGTATATGGATCGATTGGTTTGTATTTAAAATGAGCTCTGTGCAAGTATGTTAAAATTGTTTTTGTAGATATATTTAATAATGTCTTTGCCCTGTAAGCAGCTGACGAGAAGGCAGAGAAATAAAAGATGGTACCACTTTAGTCTGCTAAAACTGTAGTTCTTGCTTTGTTCAAATGGTCAAACAGTTTAATCAGAAGTGGCTTTAAAGATCTGGAAAAGTGGAACATGTAGCATAAGCTGACTTATGAGCTGCCTGTTGGTGCATGAAAAAAGCATATTGCACTTAATGCTGAAAATACGTCTGGCAATGTTTTAGAATATGCCCTAGATATATTTAACAAGATTTTTACTAACAGAGATGTGCATAACTCTCGTAAGGATTTCAGACCTGGTAAGTGATGTGACTTATCATTATTTAAAAAGACAATTGCAGCGAAGAAAATTTTCTTTTCGACGAAGTCATCATCTAGGCTGTACATTCGTGTATTTATATCAAGTAGATGGGAAAGTTCCAGAATAATTTCCGGTTAAGGGTCAAATTAATAAAAATTACAATTAGGAATTAGAATGCCATAATAAACAGGGGAGCGGATAAAACTCGAACAAAGTAGCATTATAATAACTAAGAAGATTGACATTATGCAATTAGGGGTTAGAAATGTAGAAATAACAAAATATACAGGATGTTTCGATAAAAAACTAATATGATGAATAATTGTTTATGCAATCAGGGATTAAATATTTAGAAATAGTAAAATGACAAAATAAACAGGAAGATTGGATATGAAAATATGGTAGTGTAGACAAGGATTAAGAAAACTTAAAATAACATGAATAAACAGGAAGTTTAGATAAGAAGGGTGATGAGATTGTCATTACTAAAAAGTTTTTTTACCTGTTTATGATGGCCATGGCAGGGACAGGGGTTGGACGTAATTCTTTTGGATACAAAGCATGGGTTTGAGCTTTTGGATAGCTAGCGCCTCAGCTATGCCCAGATGTCATGATTTAACTCCCTTTGATAGGTTTGACTGAATCTTGTATATTACTTTGAAGGATTTTTCGATAGGCACTGAATGTCCTGAGTTGACCAGATGCTCTGTCACTGAACTGTATATACGTTTTTGGTCTCCTTTTACTAGCCAGGCTGGGTAGTGTTCGCGAGCGCGTTTTCAAAGTCGGCACATGGTACGGCCGATGTACTCAGCTCCACAAGAGCAAGTAAACTGATATATGCACGTTGAGGTGGCCCAATGCGACAGCTTGTCTTTCACGTTCTGGCTGAACAGTTTCTTGCAAGAAAACGTCAGTCGTAGGCTCGCGGCGAAGTATGTTTTCCTAAGAGATTTGCAGAGGCGTTTGCAAAGGATTTCTGCTTCAATATCACCTTTGAATTCTAGATTAAGCAGAAGTTTTTTCTTTGGAACGGATTGGACTTGTTCTGAAGTCTTCTTAGATTTGAGATTTTTGTCTATGAACCTGAGCGGGAAACCGTTTTCCATAAGGGTTTTCCGGAGATTACGCAGTTCTTCTTCAATCACTTCCCCGCTGCATATCTTCCGAATCCTCGAGGAAAGAGCGTGTATCAGGTTCCTCTTTCTGCTTAGGGGCACGAAGCTTTGAAAGTTGATGAATTGCCCATTCCATGTAGGCTTTCTGTATATGGATCTTTTCAGAGAGTTGTTGGCGTTTCTTGTCAGCTGGACGTCTAGGAAGTGGAACATTCCGTCGGATTCAGTCTCAAGTGTAAAGTCGATGTTCGGGTGGGCGTTATTGAAGATTTGAAGTAGGTTTTTTAAATCACAATTCTCATCACAAATAATGAAAGTATCATCGATGTATCTCTTGTAGAGATGGAGGTCGTTGATAGCTGATGATAAGGGGTTGTTTTCTAAGCTAGCCAAAAAGCAGTCGGCTAATAGGGGTCCTACGGGAGAACCCATTGCTACTCCACCTACTTGCCTGTATATTTCCTTGTTGTTATTTGTCATGGCCATGCCTGTGAGACCTGATGTAATGTGTACGATGTGAAAAGGCGGGCAAGTCGGTGAATGTGTATATGTGAATAGAGGAGTAACCAGCGGAATTTGTCTTGCATCACATTCGCAAATAAACATGTGTCGTAACTAGGGGTAATTTGCATGTATTCACTCAACATACAACAAGAACAAGGGGATAGGTTCTATGCGTAATAGCCAACAGGTCATTTTATTGTGTCCCCTATTTCACTTGGGGGGGGACAGAAAACGCACAGAAACAGCCATTTCTGGTATAAACAACGCCATGGCAGATTGATGAGATTAGGGTTTTTCACTTTCGGATACCACTGGCTTAAGAATGATATAATTACTATTTGATAGGTTAAAAATTCATCCAAGCAAAGTAACTATACCAACAAGTCATTACGGACCTTCAGTAGCAACACTTGAAGGATTGTAAATCAGGGAGAAAAGACGCCAGGCCGATCCCATATCTTTCCGCTCTGATTCTCTCGCCTTTAACAACAGCTGTGGCCATAGCGCAATCCGTGTAAAGAGTAGAGTGGAGTACTTATAATCATACGGAGAAAATAGGACTATGTTCAAACGGACTATCATCTTGAAACACATCATGTAAAGCCACTCCCTACCCCTACCTTATCTTCCTCATCCCACTTTTCTGACTAATGTATCTATCTATTCACTTACTTTTCAACTGCTAAATTTCACCATCTGTTGGAGCCACTGCACGGATAACTTTCTGAAGAAATGGACACACAGAACAAATTCAAAACAAAATCAAATGACCCCAAATGGAATTATATTGGTAAGAGACTGTGGAACCTGTGTAAGATTATTGTTCCGTAAAACGAAATTTATCAGATAGACATGGAACAAACCTTCAAATATGAGATTATCCGGCATCCAAATACCAAGAACACAATGACTGAAAACAAAGTGACTTGCAGTTAACGAAAATGTGCATTCAAACAAAAATTGTAGTGCAGTCTAATGGACCACAAACGGTCTAACGGTCAAAATAGTACTATGTTATGTAACCATTTTCTAACACTGCATTACTTATATATAGACGTTTATTTCAAATTCGTCACTACTACTTATGGCGCGTCTGATTGGTCGTTAGAGGTCTTTACTGGATTATATTGTTTTGGGTTGCTATAAATTAGAGTCACCGTTTATTTACTTAATATTAGGTTAATTCACTCTAGTCTATTTATTTAAGCCGTAGGTTTACTTTGATGCCGTGAAAGATGCTCCATATCTTCGTGATATATGACAATACGAAACTTGGTAGCCAGAAGAACTTATGTAAACGCCTTAATTTTCAGATAGTTATTATTCTCTCGTTTTGAAACCATTCTTACCTAAGAGTCTAAAATCAAATCAGTTAGTCATCTATCATATTCTAGGACTACAAGTACACCTCTAGTCATTTTTTCATCATCAAAGCCCCAGACTGGATTAATTATTTAGAAAAATGCAACTAGTCTGTTGAAGTAATTAAGCAGCGGCCTTCCCACCTAAGTACCTGACTGGGTAATTTGCTCTGGAATATCGATTTGTTTTGGAATACCTATCACTATATCTTTGACAATATTTGCGCCTCTCCTCTTTTTCCCATTTTCTCCTTTACTTATACATTCAGGGGCATTCCTTTTCTCTTCGACGTCCCAGACATTTCCACATAGTGTCTCAACCTCAGTAAATGGCTTACTGCACTTTATATATTAACCCGCTTCATATATATATATATATATATCTGTTATGCCATAACCAGTAACTGCTAAAGTTTGGAAAGTAAACATCCACTTCCCTTAGACAGTATATTTTCTATTAATTTTCTCATAACTATTGGAAACATAAATAAAAAACAAAATCAAGCGGTTGGTGAGTTCATGGATAATCACATTACTATTGCAGTCATGAACTGATTCTTTGATTCAGTTATTCAGGGGAATCACGGGACTTAACAAAGTTAACTTGGTTCAGAAATTTTTGAAATAAATAAAGAAAGTGGAAATGACTGGAGATACTACAAATTTTCAAGTAATTTAATGAAAAGTGAAATTTCAAGCAAATTTGGTTGGAATTTTTTGAAAAGGCGAAAATTAGTGGAAAAGTAAGATGCAGGATCACCTACAGAAAACTTTTCAGAGGTTATATAAATTGATAATAAATAATACAAACATACCTCATGCTTATGTAAGTATGACACGTTGCTGTTTGGTATTTTTCAAATTATTAGTGAAGTGTTACTAAGCAAACAGGCGAACGAACAAACATATAAGCACAACAAACCTAAGTTTCATTTACATGAAAAAAAAAAGTGATATACATAGAAGTATATCTCACCTTACAAAACAGTTTACATCATAACTTCAGCAAAAAACAAAAAATGAGGGAACATGACATCACTAGTAAGTATTAAAGCATTCAATGAACTTGATTATTGCATAGAAGTGACCAAAGTGTATATATGGGATAAACGTAAACAGCAGAAGGGACAGAAAAGTCAAGTTCAATTTATCAGGCATATGCACAACTCTAAATGCTAATAATCAAGATTTCTAGATACAATGAAAGAAGTACAATCGTTATCATTTTAATCATTTAAATAATCGTTGAAAACAAATTTGATTTCTATGTACAAAACACAGGTGGACATACATGAGCATGTGCCTGTCGAATGATTCACAGACAAAATCGAAAGCTGCATAAATAACAATACCGATGGTAATCGCATTGCAGGAACATAACGCATGCACCAATCACAGAACAAAAGTGCCCAGAAAACTGTTTTTGTTAACCTTATAATAAACAAACACGATTAACTGTCACTTCTTGGAAGAAGAAAATGCAAGCAGTTTGAAAATGTAAGTAGATAGTGGATTTCATTGAATACATTTCAAAGTGTTACATTCACGTGGTTTTTTTTCTATATGTTCGGTTATTTTTTTTTCTTTCCACCCAGTTTGCATACAACATAACCAAATGTCAACATTCAATATAAGTGTCTAGTGAAAGCCTTGCTAATCACACAATGAAATAAGCAACTGATGTTATTCACCAGTCAGTTCATTCTTTTTATATGCCAAATCGATTTTTCTAACCAAGCAAAACACACCAAAAACTAAAGTCAAATAAACAGATAAAAGCGAACAAACACACAAGCAAATAATCATAATTGCATAATCAGATTCAAAGGAAATAAACAATATAATTTAAATTAAGACATCCCACTTAGCATAACTGAATAAAAAATAAAGACAGGTGGAGCATACAATCCACTTTAATAAGGCGAGAAACGTTGATAACTTGAATTTGTTCGATAAATTGCAGGTGTGGTGACAACTGCATTGTTTAGTGCATAGCCAGCTGCAAGTCTGTTTAAATAGGGATCCATACTAGCTGCTGCTGCGGCGGCGGCGGCTGCATTTAAATCCGGCAGGTAACTAGAATTAGAATTAGTGAAAAACTTTTTATAGATTATTCTAGTCATATCGGACTAAGTATTAAATCACCAAAGACTTCTCAAAAAGAAACTATATGTTAGATAGCCTTACTGTTCAGCAGATAAACAAGGCTGAATGGCTAGTTTATGCACAATACTAATTCACGGCTCATTGTCTTCTGTCTATTCATCCTTCTCTTTGTACATAGGAATACTAGTGACAACGTCATTACCTAAAACTGGAAACCAAAAGCCCGAAATCATGGGAATAATAAAATTTCCTCATAATAAAATAATTCCAAAGGTCTTAAAGCACAATTTTATCTCCCTCATTAACGTGTATATTCCGTGAGAAACGCTGCAGTCTATGTAGGGATTATTATGACCTTCATCTAAAGCCTATATCATTCCAACAGAAAACGGAATGTGGAATCCGTGAGTATTTTTCTCCCTTCACGTCCCCCAGTGGAACATAGGGTTTCAAGCTTGTGGCTTGAAGTTTCTGTAGCAGTGTTTATTTTACAGGGTGGGGTTGCTAGCCTCATGCCCAACCTTTCCTCTTCACCAGAAATATTTCTGGCATAGCGAGGTAAAGGAGTGCGTCGGCCGGGGATCGAAACCCGGACCATGTGCATGGTCGGCGAGCGTCCTAACTGCTATGCCACTGACGCACTACCCGTAAGTATAAGTTTCCTAAAGGTTAAACAATGCCCAGTAACAGAAAACTCAATTATTCAGTTTTCATCTGATCAACTGCAGCCGTTTTAAATAAGTTATGGCAGAATAGTGGTAACAACTTATATGACATGTTAAAACATGAAATCTTCAAAATAGTTATATTTATTCAATATATTGTCACTTTCACGCTTTTAGGACAGAAAAGTGTTACATGCAACCAAATGTTTGAATTTTCTTTTGTAAAATTATTACTTAAGGGTTTGCGAGTCATCTATATCTTCATATAGTAGAAAGCAATACTTCTGGAATACATGATAAAAATTAATGTTTAATCAATAAAATTCTTGTACTGTGTGGTAGACTACCTATAAAGACTTACGACATAACTGTTGGACTAACAGACGTCTGTGTAGGAAAATGTTGAGAAGCTGCAGCCATCACAGATTGATTTGTTCCAGAAAGAGAAGCCTGGGACATTCCTGACGCATTTGATCCGCTAACTGAAGCTTGACCAGAGGAAACTGAAGTGTAACTACCATTCGTCTGTATCTGCACAGCGGACACATTTTGTGAACCAGAAGCAGAGCTGACGAGTACATTTGGGTTATTTGTTCCAGACCGGTTGGATGTCAAATTATTAGGATTAAGTGAAGTTGATGAATTTGAAAAAGCTCTCAGCATGTTGGCAGCTACAGCTGCAGCTGCCTGAGATGGTGATAAGTTTCCACACAACCCAACTGTGTTACCGGAAATTGATCCTGTCAAGCTATCAATGGGATTATTGACAGAAAGACTAACAGGAGTAAAGCCAGCTGCCACGGCTGCGGCTAGAGCTCTTTGGTTTGCCTGGATTTGCTGCTGTTGCTGTTGGATACGATGCTGTAATTCAAGTTCAACTCCCATATTTGAACTAGGATCGAACCACTGAACCTATTGAAGCATTAACACATAATATATATTTTGCTTTAGACATGTACTTATTTATTCATGGATTAAACTGAATTGATGAAATGTTTCACGAAAGAAGTTTTATTATATTCTCCTGATAATTATCTTAGAAAACATATAAAGTTAGAGATATAATATCTTATGATTTCTTAAATGAGTCACATTTTAATGAAACAACGTTTCGCAATAACTTAGCCATTTTTTTAAAATTTAAGTGATTTTAGTGCAAAATTGTTAAACTTTCTCATTTCTTTGTAGTAATATTAAATACCTTAACGATAAGTAACTTCAGCTATAGTTCCCATACTGTATCCAGGTTACCACGTAAATTTTATAATTAAAAGACATGATTACGATGATCCATGCTTTTAAATTTTCAACTTTTCCACCAATTTGTGTATATTCGGTATATTATCATTGAAATAAATACACATTTGTGTTTACGCTCAATTGCATAAAACGTTTGTTGAGAACTATCTCAAGCCCCATTTGTTTGTACTAAATATTTCAAATGTATTTACAATATTTCTGATTTGGTTCTCCATAACATATCAGTAGAATACCTAACCGTGAGACTTAGTGGCTATAAATTCGAATAACATCAAATAGATACTACAATAAATATGTGAAGTAGCTAAATGACTCTTTGACTTTGAGTGTTTTTGTTTCAAGAAGAATGTGGAGATATTGTTTTTGAAATAGCTATGCAATATTCCATTCACTTTGGTTTCTAAAATTAATTTAATTCAGATAAGTAATAGCAGATTTTATGAGTATAAATATTGAAAGGTAAAAAGACATGTGGGTTTCTCACCAGTGGTGCAGGTGCACTTGATCCCAAAAGGGGTACGGTCTGAGGAAGCATTGCCATGGCTGCCAGGGAATTAGTCAAACTAGCTGCTTGTGACGGTGATCCAAAGGTTTGGATGACAGTCGAAGGTGTATTACCACTAGCATTTCCATTATTGTTGACCAAACATCCATTGCTTGCATTACCTATTCCACCAAATGCTGCTGCTGCATAACTGGCCAGCAGTGCTGCGGTGTTTGGATCGGCTCCAGCTAAACAGAATGCAGCTGCAGCTGCTGGATTGTAATTCACGGGTGCACCTGACGCACTAGCCATTGCAGCTGCTAATAAAGCTTGGTTAGCATTAAGAGAATTGCATGATGGCATCGCAGCGATATTTGTTAGTGTGGGTGCTGTAGCCGAGAAAGTGGCTGGATTCTGCAAGATTCCACCAATACCTGAGGCAACAACCATTGATGCAAGATTTCCTGGAGTTGACATAGAAACCATTGGTAACCCTCCAGTAAGCCCGGCAGCACCACGCAAGGCTGCAGCAGCGGCAGCTATGGCAGCAGTTGAAGATGTACTTGGTACAAGAGCTCTAACACCTCGAAGTGTTGTTGCGGCTGAAATAATAAAGAGGTAGATAATCACAAAATTTATTTATCTTCTGAATCAACAGTTAACAATACAACAACAAAACCATTATAATGATTCCTCTTTGTGAACTTGAAAAGATTGTACTTGAAAATAAACTCTGTTATTTCCAAAAAAAGTAGTCACCATTATCACAATTATTTAGTTTTCACATTATGAGACAGCTAGAAAACACATGAAAGTGTTAACCATTAAATTTAGTCTTTCCTCACAAACTGCTTGAGCACAGTTTGATGACAGAACCCGTCTTTGCTATCCTGATATAAGAAAAGGAGCACATCACTTAGTGAGGAAACACATTAGCTGTTAAATATTATACTTCTACATAGTTTCACAATCTTATTTAGCCTTAAACACTATACTGACCGAAACGTTCCTACACTTGTTGTCATCAGAGGTGCTAGTATGTAACTCTGACTTTTTCTGAGAAAGTGAAGTAAACTGTGCTGTTCGATCATTCGAATATAATCAAAGAATCTGGTCAGTAGAAGAAATCACTGCAGAATGCTGACCACTATCGTATGGTTTCACTCCGTAATTTATATACTTCTGCATACACAAGATAGAAAATTGAGTTTTAAAAAACCATAATCTCTATTCCCTTTCTTTTTGCCAGTGAGATTTATACAAGAGGATAACATCAGAATTTACGAAAATTTAGTACGAACATGGATTACTGTTAGAAAAGTCATCATGTCTATGAAATACTTATTTTTGAAAGAAAGTCCAACATTTTTCTTCATAAATTACATTCACTTCAAGGATTTCGAATACCCTAAACGAGTTAGCTGAATTTTTATATCTCATTAACACTAATTTAGTCAAAAAACTCATTTAAATGAAACTCTATTAATTTCAGCTTCATGTGAAGAATCATGTGCTGTCTGTTAGTGCTTTCGATACACAACCCGAGTGCTGTTTCCAAATTTTCAAGCTGGAAATATAAAATTCCAATAAGAAATCTTTGTTTCGGAGAATAATATTCTAGCTGTTGGATTATTAAACCACTAGGTGATCTATACTGGCGATAAGGTTGTGTTTAGAGACTTGAACCGGAAATCTTACTTGTAGATAAACCCATCAGCAACAAATCTACATCGGGTAAAACTATCTACTGTCTTTATCATATACAGAATTATTCTATTCCAACTAAGTACATGTCATCCTTCAAAATGCTCATAGTTAAACTATTCTTCATCAGTGTTTTAGATAGCTACAAAGTATTACTTCTGGTGTGTAGCTCCGTTTATGGCTTGTAAGCGCTTCGAGTTAAACAGTAAACAACAGCAATGAACTTACTTTTTAAGAGCGTTGGTGATTCAGACTTCTTCTTCGTCATTACACGTGCAGTAGCGTTATTAATCTAGTAAATAGAAGGATAGACATCCATGTACACAGGTTCATTAAATCCTATCTTTGATGTGAAGTACTCGCAGTCATAGAGTAGTAAAAAATTAAAATGGTGACCAAACGAATAAGATTTGAGTTAAGAAAAACAAAACAGCATGGATATTGATATTCAGTGCAATACCAAACACCAAGTTGACTGATAGTTATCAATGAAATTCAATGACAAATAAACTTGCACTTTGATAACAAATTCATAAAAAGAAAAAAAAGTCCAATTAAATCAGAACTAACTGTTCAGCGAAAAGATTTTTTTACGTCAAATTAACTCACTTTGCTGTAGAGTGGCAAATATATGTAATTATTTTTTTATTTGCGCATTCAATTTGTTAAACATAGCAAAACAATAAAAGTTAATTAGCTGGGAATATTGCTTTTATCAAAATATTTAAAACAGTGAATACTGGTGACTGAATGGGTGAAGATTAGTGAGTTCAGACTAGAAGTTGCATAATACAAATAAATAACTTGAATACGACTATATATCTTGAAGTAGAATTTACAGCATCCACTTTGAATTCAAATAGAGGAATGTTTATCTGAGAACGAAGGTATGTGAAATTTCAGTTCGGAACTATTGCTTGTTTCCAGTAACTTCCAGATTCACTGTCAATTCAGCATAAGTTTTGTGAATATTACAATAATACTATTGATTTTTATGCTATATTACGTTATTAAGTGATTATAATAATAATAATAATAATATAGTTTTGAGAATAACTATTTTTTTGATTATTTATTTTTGATTATAGCTTGATTCCACACCGTATTTCTGGTACAACTATGGAATTTTCAGCATGTGATATCGGTAGCCCAGACTTTGCAGGTCGACCATTGATATGGGGTGTGCGTCGGCAGGGGAGAAATTCAGTTCATATTGTTTGAAATGAATTCTAAAGATAAGTCTCCTTCTAACAGATAAGCTACTGGGAATTTTGAGTAGGGATGATAACTCAAAATTAGCATCATCTTGTTGATCGGTTCCCTCAGAAAGCAAGTAAAAATCCTTCACATCATAGATGAAATAGACATTCTTCATCAATAAGTTCAGTACTAAGTATCGAAGTCCTTACATTTCTATTAACCTAAAGCATCCACCAAGAGCAGTCAGCTTCAGAAGCTTTCAGTTAGAATTATGTTTATGAAAAGTTTGTAATTATAGAAACAGTTTGTGTCAAACTTTATAACTCCTGCTTACTCATCTGGTAACATGAAAGTCTTTTAGTTCTTTAGCAGTAGTGTAACAACAGAAGGCAAGACACCGGAGCCAAGGTATGTTTTTCATTATATATATATATATAGCATTCTTTTGTTAACGCAGTATATAACCATGGGAAATGTATTCTGTCTCTACTATCAAATAGAATGTTCAAATAGATATATTGTAGGCAGTATTGAACTGTGGGAATATGTGAGCATAATATTCCGTCGGCAGATATTGTCCATATCACACCAACACAGTAGTACACTGACGAACAATAAAGTTTGTTGGTATACATAACCGAGAGCAACTCAGATATCTACTACTATAAAGAAATCTGGAATTTCATTTCTAAGCATGTGTTGATCATTCATATAAAAGGCTAACTTAATGCTACTTCAAAGATGCAAAATTTGGCATTAACAATTGATAGTTAGTCTGGAATAATCAATTATACGTGTCAAACTGATAAACTTATTAAAAAACTGATTTTCTATATCTTGAATAAGTTCATTGTCTTGAAATAGTTGTGTTTTCTAAGCTAGCTGATTTAATTGCAAAGCTTTCATCGTCCTTCTGGATAACATCTTCAGCGCATGTTTTAGTATGAAATGAACTCATTGGAATTCTCCATGAATGATATAACTGTGTCAAATGGCAACCGTGAAGAATTCCAATGAGTCCATTTTATACTAAAATATGCTCTGAAGATGTTGTCCAAAAGGACGACGAAAGCTTCGCAATTAAATCAACCAGCTCAGAGAACACAACTAATTCAACATCATCCACTTGAGCTACAAATTTTATTATTTCAAGTTCATTATCTTTCAAACGTATGACAGTGACTCTCTACATACAGTAACATAGCATGTATCAACCTTTTATCCAATTAAAAATTACAGATATTAATAATGACTAGTGGTTAAATTTTATCAGCATTGAAAAAAAGCGAACATATTAATTCAGCGAAACAGGATTTTTTTGCAAATAAATGCTGTCTTTAAAAACAACTTAAAAATGCTAAATGGTTAGTGGATAAAAGCTATACCTGTGAAATTGACGGATTATTTAAAGTGTAACAGTCAATGTTTGGTGATAGTCAAGGTTGCCATATTGTCAGGTTGAAAATAAAACTTAAAATATAGCATACAGACCAACCTGATAACTAATGACTGTTCAACTTAACAGTATTTGTATCTAGAAGCTATCTCAGCAAATAATGAACGTATGATAGATTAATAAATTCTATTGCTTACACCATCAGATATCGAACAATATACTACTTCAAGATAAAGAAATCAAAAGCGATACGGACTACAGTGGTGTAGCTGACGTCTAATCTTCAAATGACAGAAAGACAATCTTGACTGGTGGAGTTATTCTGTTCAACGTACTTTGTGAGTGGCACATTGGTTATTTTTCATTGTGAAATTATCACGGTAAAATGATGCACCACCTAAGATGTAGTGTATATAGACACATACGAAAACACAGAGTGATAAATAAATGACGGTGTCACTTAACCATTCATGCATCATCGCTTACATAATAACGTTCCATATACAGACTCTCACAACTGAATATTTAGCAGACTTTGGCTTACTACTTGTCAAATTTTACCGAATCAATGTTCTAGGCTTACTCTTTAACCAAAGAAAGTTGGAAGTAATTACAACGATATCATTTAGCACACTGAATTGTTCTGAAAAAGCCAACACATTAAAACAACATGTCATGCATACAATACACATGTTTGAATTCCCAGTTTTCCCCGAATATTAGTTGATTTCGTTTTAGTCAACTAATTTTTGTCCTGAGTGAATTTAAATTCAGAGAACTCATCTTTGTTTTTGAAGGGTTGACTTGTAGAGATTTGATTTGTTTTTGAAGTTTGACCACGCATTGATATCAGTTAAAGAAACACTGAAAACCGGGGAAGACTGGACAGTTGTTTCGTCATTAGTTGGGACTCATTGACAATGCGTACCCACCGGATTTCGAATACAGGACCTTCCGATTATAAGGCAAGCTCGTAGACCATCCCTACAAATCAACTCTTGAAAAATTAATCTGATATTTGCTAGTGACCGGCAGCAGGACGGAGTTTCCTGGAGTTCTAGGTGAGAATTCATGACCACTGGGGTCCATGCAGTCGTCAGTGAGGATAACATTGGCTGGTGGTCACGCTAAAATCACGAATCGGCAGAAGTTAGAATTCATGGGCCACTGAGTCGGCTCCCAGTGGCTCAGTGGTTTGCCAGTTTACCTTGTAACCGGAAGGTCCTGGGTTCGAGACCCGGTAGGTGCATGCTCCCGATGATTCCCTAACTAGGACGAAACAGCTGTCCAGTACTTCTTGACTTTAAGTGGTTCTCTAACTGATATCAATCGGCGGTCATCTTTATTTGTTGAAATGATCATTGAAGTTAAGACAGACAAAAGTTTCGAATCCATTTCAAAAACTGCTACGATTTAAGAGTTCCATTCAAACTCAAGTACTAATCTTTCATATTATCCATGTAATATAAACATAAGTATAGGTCCGATTTTAGTATGTAGTATGTTAACTAAGAAATATTGTAGAAAGTATATGACTGTTTACAGAAATGTGTCGGACATATCCATCATATCATTCTCAAAGCCTCTCTGAAAAGCAATGATCTTAAATTATAGGGACAGATCTTGCTTTATGGGACTGCATAGTGAGGAGAAAGGAGTTATGCTATGTTGTGGGCTGAAAAACTCAAAAATCCTAATCAATGAAATCCGGGTGTGATTCAATAACTAAGTTGTTCTAGCGGGACCTGAAAGTTTTGAGAAACTTTTTACTTGATGCACAATCCTCAAGCAGTCATTAACGGAACTGTTTATTTTAAAAAGGTAACCCTCGAACTGACCAGGTCTAAGGACCAGATTCAGCTATCTACCTAATTAATCCAAGGTGGCTTGCAAACAAATATATGAAAAAAAATCTTAAGAAAGTAAATACTGCAAAATCTATGCGAAAATTTAGTGTGCCCACAGAACGTGTTCAGTTTACTTCAGTAAATCAGCTGTATGAAGCATAAATAATACCAATAACCCATTGAAAACACTTTGGTTGGAGGAATTCAATGGCTTGTCGAATAACACTATTGAATTTAAAGAGACGGCCACGAGTTCTAGTCTGTTTAAATAACATCAGATACGGGGATGCAGATGTACCTGATTGGCGAATCCTAAACAAGACGAAACACCAACTATTTACTGCCGAGCATTGCCAGTCAATTTTCAGAAGTATAAGTTTGTACTGTTAGTTTGAATGGTTGTAAACAATATACGATTAGGACACCCTAGTAGACGCATAAGTATATGAATTAAGTAGTCATACAAGTCATTTAATAAACTTAGGAAAATCTAGTCTACAAATTTCCTGATGTGTTATATTTGTGCAGATTTAATTCATATCAGGGTAGATTTCGTTGGTACATGACTAAATCAAACATGGGATTTTTAACATTGTACTGAAATATCAGTTCCTACTGATTAGAACGTATAAAAGCGTATACTAAATAAATAATAAAAAGTGTAGCAGGAAACAGAATTTTGTGCTGCATGTATACAGTACTGTGCATAGAAATACGCACAATTTCACTTAAACAGACACGTTTCTTCTTTTTATAGACATCAATACGAATGTGTACATAAATACAGGTACATACATTCACAGGACACAGTGTCAGAAAATACGTCTTCTGCATATGTGTGCAACAACGAATAAATCGATTTTCACCTAACAAAAACTAAAGGTCAGAGGAGAAAATTTATTTATGTATGAAGAATTTAAGGTGAAAAGTAGTAAGAATGACTCACTTGGTTGAGGTCAAAATATTCCCCCAATAGCCCCAATATTTGAAAACCAAAGTTTTTAAATGTCTTACAAGCCTACATACACACTAGGGGAAATTTAAAGAGACTGACCTCATTTCAATAAACAATACACCAAAGGCAACATGGAGAGAGGGATGAATAGATGCCCAACATTCTTTATAACATATTAAAAAACGTCAATAATTTTGTGTTAAAGCATACCTCAATTTTCCTGCCTTCAACTACAGTTCCGTTTAAATTCTCTCGCGCACGATCAGCTTCTTCGCCTGTTGCAAAGGTGACGAAGCCAAAACCCTGTAAAAGCAAGCAGATGAACAATAGAGGTTTTGTAAATTAGAATTTCAAAAACGACCGAAACATAAAAGTGAAAGTGGGTTTTTAATATATACAGCATACACAATATACATAACGATAAGTGAGAAGTGTTGCGAATCTATACGCGTTTAGTCCCACCAATAATCTCCGTCTTCTTCCACGCAATGTTAAACGTAAAAGAAGACATTTAAGCAAATACTTTTTCATCTGTATATATATATATATATATATATATATATAACTGTAAATAAACAGGACTTTTTAATTAACTTGGTGAACTTGAGGATTATTCCTAACTCTTAGATGTCGTAAATTATGCTTATCCCTTGCTCATAATTTTACAGTTTCATTAGTTTTGTTTTCTGAATAATAACGTCCTGAACTGCAGATACTTGAAACAGCATACGTTTTTTCTTTAAACGCCAAATATGTCGATTCCATAAATTCTTTCAGATACCTGACAATCGTTTGTGGGAAATGGATCGCCTTCAAAGTATATTTCAGAACAAAAGGATAATGACTCATGAACAACATTTACCAATGATCACTGTATAATGATCTGGCAGGAGTTAACCGTTTAATGGTAACATGCTTACCTTGAGAATTCACAAGTGTAGTCCCGATTAATGCACTGCAGCTGACCTACTTAACAATAACCTAGAGCTGAGATGCAGTCCATTACCCCGAGGTTCTCCTTCATTATCTAGTTGGTATTACTTAGTGGTGACAACTGGACTGATATAAAAATCATTAAAATTTTTAATGACGGACAAAAAGGCCGTTAAAATTCAAAGAAATTTCCATCTAGCTGACTGACAGACGTTGGTTTAATTCATGCTTGGTAAATAAAACAAATTTGTAATAATACTTGAATTTCTTATAAATATGAGTGTTATTAAAGTTACCTTTGATCCACGTTCGTTGAAGATAATTTCCACATCCAAAATCGTACCGAATGGCTTGTAAAAAAAAAGTAAAAAGCATTTTAAAAAAAGGTTTAATGAGGTCACTTAGTGTGGGCATGTTCTCATCACTGTCTCATGAGATCCCTTCTGAAGGCGAATAATATAAAGGACAAACTGAAACTACCTGTGTGATTATCTGTTGGTTCTACATAACAATTTTTCAGTAATTTTATTTGCTGTAGAGATCAAGCGAATCCATTTTATTTCCACAGGATATAAACATCAAAATGTACTTTCCTTTCATTTTATTCGTTGGATGTGTAACACAGTTAGATAGTTTCACGCACAGAATGTTGTTATTATCCTGATTTATTGTTCATTCTTAAATCAAGACATGACTGTGCTTGGCCAAAATAAACTTTTTTGCAAGATTCTGTTTAGTGAATAAAACTGCTTTATTGGATTATATGCCTCATATATGTCTCATTTCATTGCTGTGGACTATTAATTTGGTTTCTGTTCAGTAGTTCTATCATTGTTTTTATCCCTTCAAAATTTACGAACATTCAGAATCTTACTTGGCCTCTTCGGTTATCATATTCACATTTCACCCATGTAATTATTATTATCATTATTGTTGTTATCAGCAGCACTGTAATCATGACAAATATTAGGACAATTAGAACTGATAAACTGATTCTTATGGGGAAAAAGTTTATTATGTAATTATTCTTAAGCTTGGAAATAAATTTGCTAAACAATTTTATTTATTATTATTGTTCCCTTGGGTTCCTAGTGGAACATAGGGCTTCAACTGCACGTCTCCACTTGCTTCTGTCTTCTGCTGTACTTTTCACCTGCATCCATGTTAGTCCATACTGTTTCAACTCCTCTTCACACGATCTCCTCCATGTCACCCTTGGACGTCCCACTCGGCGCTTCCCTTTAGGGTTCCACTCGAGCTATGGCCTGACGCGCAATGTCACCCAACGGCCTCCTCAGCGAGTGTCCAATCCATCTCCACTTTCTCCTGCTAAACAATACATGAGTTAAAAATCATTTCAAATATTTTGTCAACTATCAGACTGAGTGACGATGGGCTCAGCTCTTGTCTTAATCCCATGGTCAGTTATGAGTGGGAACTTTTGAAGAGTCCTTGAACTCGGTGAAATAAGGGTCTAGTGCTCTTTGGTTAATTAAACTGTGAACCTGCTCAGTCGCGCTAAGCAGTATGTTCCCAACATAGAAGTTAGTACTTTGTCAGCAATGTGGTTTAATAGTGCAAAGTGAAGTTTCTTTATATGTACATATCATATGTGACATTTGTGCGTCGGTGCCATAGCGGTTAGGACGCTCGCCGACCATGCACATGGTCCGCGGTTCGATCCCCGGCCGACGCATTCATTTATCTCGCTATGTCAGAAATAATTCTGGTGAAGAGGAAAGGTTGGGCATGAGGCTAGCAACCCCATCCTGTAAAATAAACACTGCTACAGAAACTTCAAGCCACTAGCTTGAAGCCCTATGTTCCACTGGGGAACGTGAAGGAAAAAAATGTGACATTTGATTAAATCCAGACGTTTGCATGTGCATGCAAACAATAATATGAGACAGTATCTCGAAATGTGAATTACATTCTAAATAACCAATATACAGCTTGAATGCATCTTACTTCTCTTCATGTAAATCATGACAGATAGGGTGAAGTGAGAATCTGAATTTCCCATTCAGAAATAACCACCAAATACGCTTCAAAACACGCTAAACACCACAATGTATGTTCTTTTGCAACACATTAGACTTTGAGAATTTCTGTGAATAACAGCTATTAATGTTCATGTGGTCATAGAACTAGTTTTAACTATCTCATATATATGATATATATATATATATATATATCATAAATCAAATAACTTACCCCTAAAAGTTGACGTAGGTCAGCTTCCCGAAACCTGAATGGTATGTTGGACACATGTAAACGCTTGGGCCCAACACTGACCAAATTCGCTGCTAGAGCGGCTGCTGCTCCTGAATTCAAGCCACAACTAGTTAACGTAGGAGAATGGATAGAAGTAATCGCAGCTGAAGTAATCATTGGTAAGTTCAGCTCTCCACTCAAAGAAAATAATTGGGCATTTTGGTTCTGCGTTATGGAGACGGTTGGTGAAGTTAGGGAATAGCTTGTTTCTAACTTTTCTCCTGTATGAACACTGAGATTGATATCACTTGCAGGTAGCTTAGATAAATGGAGAGGATTATTTAAGCTCCCACTATAAGTGGGACCTTGCGATATTATCGTAGAGTTCTTTGTAGATACTGCCAGGGCAGCCGCAGCCGCTGCCACAGCTGCTTCCAGTGAAACAACCTAAATTGGATAATAAAAAAGGAAAAAAAATAATATGCTTGAGTGTAGGACTTCTTATTTGTATGACCGATAATTGTGAAACGGTAAAAGAATTAGTAGAATGTAAAGTGGTAAGAAGCGTCAAATATAATTCTAATCTGATCATCAACTACACAAATACAATGATAGGTTATATCCTTGGTTAAATTCAAGCCTGGTTTTCTTTATATATGGGGATATGCTGTCCGAAACCTGGATTTATAGTTGAATCCTTGAAAGTCTTGCTAAATCTAGGTAAACACACCATTAAATTGCAGGCTTTAGCCGACTACTGAGAGAATCGCGTCTTCGTCTAACGTTTCTTTCCAAGCGTTAGGGGATTAGAACATAAGTTACTTTTCTTGGTAAGTATTTAAGAAGAATGATAGTTCTCTGCAATAGTTAGATATTTTGGAGTAATCCAAACTCAGTGAGTTTCAGAATTTGATCTGCGGGAGGGGGAAATATTAAAGTGCAAGACACCAAACTAAGACGTACAGAAGAATTGAAATAAATAGGTGGGGATTTTAGGTAAAATCATAAAAATTCACCTCAGTGGTGAAGATGATGCATTCACGATTCAGTTATATCAGCATAATTAAGACGTTTTTACCAACTAACTTTACACCTTTTACTATTAAATTCTAAACTCTCAATGCTTTTTATAGCCTCTATTATTATAATATTCATTTACTTTTTATCTTGTGTCAAAGCCAGACTCGTAAGGACAAGATATGCCTTAATCAACCTGAAGTTGGTTTGGAAATCTTCTACACTCAGCCAGCATAAACAACAAGACTCGGATTTTCAACCCAAATGTGAAGTCATTCAGTTCTACTGTAGGGTTCAGAAACTTGACAATTGCATCATTGAAAGCATTTTCAAGAAGTTACAGACTTCTATCAACAGCTGCCAACCTTGTTGGCTCCATACTGAAGATCAAATGGCCGGTCAGAAAGGATCAGCAACAAGAAACTATGTGAACAAACTAACCAAGAACCTATTGTCACACAAATATGTAGGAGAAAATTGAGATGGATAGGGTACACACTGAGGAGGCCATCGAGTGACATCGTGCGCCAGTCCGTCGAGTGGAATCCTAATGGGAAGCGAAGAGTGGGTCGTCCAATGGTGATGTAGAAGAGACCGTGCGGCGAGGAGATGAAAGACTACCCACAGTCATGGACCCTGCTGAAGAGGACGATAGAAAACAGAACAAAGTGGAGATGTGTTGCAGAAGTCCTATGTTCCACTCGGAACATAAGGGAATAATAATAATACGTTTTATCGTGTGAAGTTTCCCTCTGACTCAGGTGTGATATTCTACAAGAGTATAAATTTGCTCCACTTTCTGTTCATATGTCTGCATTATAAATCCGATTTAAGTTATAGAAGAAAGATTCAAAAATATAAATATTAATGACACGTTTTCACTATCGATATGGTCATTTTAATCCTTCGTAACTCCATGCGACACATGACAAGTTTAGTTAAACGATAATTAGCAAAACGATAATTTTTAGCATGCTGTTGAACAGTGATGATTTTAGTATTTCGTTTTGCTTCACGCCCCCCCCCCCTAAACTCATGGAAATATCATTTCCTTTCAAAAAATTTATATTCCTTTGATTGTTTCTCATATATTATTAATTCCTGGCAAGATGGTTCTAGTTTTAATTTTTTTACTGCCATTATGAGTTACTCATATGAATAAAGATTAAAATATGACGCCTAAGACTTTGTGACTTAAACGCCACAGTTTTATACCTTTTCATTTATTATTGGTCACTCCTTGAGTTACTGATATGACGCAGAACTTCAGCTACACATCGCTATTTCTGTCGATCCTCATATGATATGCTCCATAAAACTATAGGAGGCCCAACACATCGCTTCCCATACAGTTCTCTTCAAGAACCTGACGTGTGATGTAGCCTGAATGTCTCCTCTGAGCATGTTCACTGCGCATTAGTTTCCTTTGGCATATTTGTTGAGCAATGGGTTCTTGGTTAGTTCGTTGTCTGCCTGGGTTCCCTGTCGCTTATCATTTCCTGTCGGAGATCTGTTCTTAAGTATTAGGCTCATGTATCCGTTGATGAAGGGCTTCAGACTTCTGGAAATACTTTCACTGATGCTTGAGCCATGTCCCTGAATTGCATAAAAGCACTAACTTGGCGTCAATATTAAGAATTTAGATCTTCTTCTTTATGATAAATGTTGTTGATCTCCAAGCTGATTTCAGAGTGTTGAACTTCTGTTCTGCTTTTTCGTTCCAATTTTGGCTGAATTTGACATAATTACCTGTGCTGCAGGTAGTTAAAACGATGCTACGGATGCATGTAAAAGAGACAACCTTCCCAAGACTTCTCCCACTATTAGTGTTTATTGTTGGTTGGGCTTCTGTGCTATCCCCGTCCTCCCTATATTCATTTGAAGTCCTATATTCGCTGCCTCTGTCAACCTGTTGTTTTCCTATTGTAAATCCTCAAGTTTGTTTGATTCATATATTGTAGATAACTCTTATTCTATGTAATTCCGGAAAACGAAATGAGGAGTTCCTAGTAGTACTGGATAGTGATTGGCTGAATGTCGAAAATTTTGGTTGTTTTATTTGGACTTCGATTTGGATGAAATAGAAGCATAATTTGATGAAATCAAGCTCAGCGGATATTTCTTAGCAAAAGTGTGTAAAGAGCTGCCAAAAGAGGAACTAAATCCCTCAAATCATGTCTCAGAAACTGTTTTCACTGAGGATTACACAGTTTTACTTCAGTTATCCAGTGGAGTTTCGGGAATTCTGTCCAAATAAAGTATGTTTATATAGCGCAGCCACTAACAAGTGTCACAGGCGAGTAGTCGTTCTCTAATCTGACTTGATGGATCCCTCTGGTTAAGACTTCTCACTAGAATTCCAAAACAATTCTTGTACAGAAACAGTCGCTGTGAGCATTAGATTAATTATAAAGTGTTAGTTCACAGGGATTTGATTGGTTGAAGCCTTGGTCGCGAGTTGAAATCAATCATGGGACCATAAGGAAACCAGAGAGAACTTGACAGCTTTTTCATTCTGGCCTGGGAACCTTCAGCAGTATGAACCCAATGAGGTCTGAACCCTAGCTTTCCACAAGACACTTAATCAAAAATTTCACCATTACCAGAGAGTATAAAGTTTCGCACATTCTTTTCTAATAAGCTTAAATACTTCTTTTATACGATAGTGACACCTCATAAAGAATCTTCCGATTTTACCTAGCAAACCACACGTCATGTACAGGTGGAGAAATATATGATCTCTGAAAGAAAAATATGCGCAGACAATCCTTGACCAGAAGTGTCTTGCAAAAGAATATTCAAGGGTCACTAAGAGCTAATTATTCCATCACGCACATCATTAAATACACCTACTAACAGGTGACTATTAAAATCGTAAGAACTGAAATCGTATTGCATGTGCACATGCGTGAACGATAATTTGCTTAACCCTGGAAATATTCCAGTAATTACTGGTTTCATTTTGGAGCGAAAATGAAATCTGAACTTCTCTAAAAAACAGTTTGAATTCAGTGGTGTATGCGGCAATAATCCTATAGTGATAAGAAGAGAATAGTTTACTGTAGCAAAACTCGACAAACAATGAAATAACCAGGCAAATAGGTCGATAGTGATTTTAAGTCATCCATATGAGTACTTTAAAACACTGGGAAAAATAATATATGGTCACCAAGTTCCACGCATGGGTGAAAACCATACTCACAAATTTTATTATATGAAGTATAAATTGCGCTGGCTCTGACCATCAGTCAATGCAACGGAAGAATGCACATAGACTAACCAATGATCAATGGGAACAAGTGGACCTAATCATTCAAATAATTTCATACATTATGCACAAATCTCTTTGTAACTTACTTGATGTGAATTGATTTGATCCAGCATACTTTTCCCTTCAACATCATTCAAATCTTTAGTGCAAACATCTGTTACAGGATTACCACAATTCGATATTGCATTCACAAGTTGTGTATCTTCATTATCCATTGTGCTGATGACTCCGGTTGACAATGTAGATACCAGACCATTGGAAGAGATGAAATTCGTCGATAAACCTGCACTAGATGAAACCACAACTTCATTTGATACAGACGACGCCACGTTAGATGTCATCACACTAGTACTATTAGTGTTGTTCATTAGGCTGAGTGAGGTAAATCCGTTCACTTTTCTACCCGGTTATACAGATATTCGTGTTGTGCTTCGAATACTTTTGATAGTCCGTAGTATTTACACTCTGTTATAAAATCTGGGAATCGAAAACAAAATAGAGACGTTTATAAGTTAAGTTTAGGGGGAACTGATGTACATCCAATGTGATCTCGATAAACAGTAATACCACTGAACTTGATTTAAGCTGTAATATCTTCAGCGTTCTTCAACAGTCCATCTTAATTGGTGTTGGGAAAAGCATTTACTTAGAGGAGATAAAGTCAAGTGAAAAGTTCAGATGGTCAGAGAAATGCATATTAGGTTGCATCCATATATACTTACCAGATATTTTCTTTCCGTTCAAGAGTTAGTGAACTATGTATTCAGATAATGAGAACACTAATGAAACATCTGAATAAACAGTGAAACATTCAGCTTCCCTGTTTACTGCCTGAACAGTGTATCTAATCAATAATCGAATAAACGGTAGGGATTCTGCAATGTATCTGTGTGCATTTTAAGTGCACTTATTCTTCGCACACACACACACACATAAACGCACAAACACTGGCATCATTATTCTTTTGTGAATTAGTCCAATCAAATGAACACAAAAGGGGAAGAAAATGGGACGTGCTTTGGTAACAGCACATATGCTGTTTGAACTATCAATAATCTGCCCTATCGGGCCAACCACTATCACCAAAATCAGTAGTAATAATTCCCTTTCAGCACAATACTGTTTTATTCATCCATCCTACATTCAACAGTTGTTCAGATTATCGAATCAGTTAATTGTTAGATGGGGAGCGTGGTTCTTTTCCATTTGTTTACTTACCAAATTTATACCACTGAAATTTCAGCAAGAGAAAGAACCACTGATTATTTTTCAGTAGATAGTAGAAATATCTAGAGTAGTTTAGTAACTGATAACAAATATGTCTTTGCAAAACTGTGAATTTAAAATACTTTTCATCAAAAATCACACACTGCACTGTACAGTTTTAAACCTCACTAAAAGTGTATAAAAGATAGAAATTTTATAAAGAATTCATTCACTTGAGTTGTTGTGTAGAAGGCGTAAATCAAGTACGAATTGGAGTCACCAACCGGATTTATTAAATGGCGGAGTTTATTAAGAATACACGGTGAAATATGAAAATGATAAAATATCTTTGTTATAAAACTGAGTGACTTGTAGTTTGGCAGACCGATATTATAACAGTAGCATGGTGATTGAGTTTAGAAAAATCTGGGAGTTAGTAGTGTGAAACATGACAAGACCTACGATTTAGTTTTAACTCTTATCATTATTCTATTGCAACAACAAAAGGCTGTCGAACCAGTGTTACCATAAAAGAAAAATTTTTTATCCATCTTTATCTTAATTTGCTGGTTTAAATATTGTGTAGGATAATTTACTCCATATTTTTGAGTGGATACTAGTCAGTTACTAGTGTAGTGTGTTTAGTTCAGTCTTTGGTGCAGACTGAATTCTGTCAGTCAAATTTGCACTGGGTGACGCACGTTCGAATCTCAGAAGGGATTAGAGTTCCTTCAAGGTAGCAGATGCTCCCTGCTGACTGGTGAGTGCCAACTTGCACGAAACCTAGGTGGAGGGCTTCCTGCCGATTGCCTTCAACCATCTAATACCAGCTTGCTCCATTAGATATTACTGTTCGTACTAACATTAGGCAGGGAAGGAGAAAATTTGTGCAAATAATTCAAGTAATATTCATGGTAGATTTAGGAGGTAAACATGAAAACGTGTTGTATACCTAACTGGGATAAAGGCAGTAAACTTCGGGTTTGCTGTTTATTTAAAGTTTTTGTATTTTAATATATTTTCTGTACATTGAAGTTTCTCTAGCCGTATGATAGGTTTAGTGGTGTGGGGTTGCTAGCCCCACACCCATCCCTCCCCCTTTACCCGGGCTTAGAACTGGCTAGAAAACCAGCATGTTATGTCACTTAACAGTCACCTCAGTGTGTTTCCGACCCACCTGCACTCCCCTCAGCATACTGCTGGGTTCTAAGTTGATTGTATGACAGAGTTCCTTGTTGCTAACGCTGATGAAAGTGTGAAGCAGCCCGTTAGAAATGCTTTGACTGACGTGCCAAGCCTCTCAACCACATAGAAGTACTGATTTGACATTAATATTAGAAATCACGATCACGTTCCTTATGCTGACTGGTGTTGATCCCCACACTAGTTTCAGAGTAATGAAGGTTAGTCTTGCTTCTATTATCTTGGGTTCGACACCCACATCTGTGTTAAGTGTAGTTGAAAAGATGATTTCTACCAATGACGGTTATTGATATTTGTTGTTGATGCCTGAGTATCTTCATCATATCCGTATAATTCGTGTTCACTTGAAGATCTGATTTTTCTACCACTTCTGCCAAATTCTTGGGTTACTGTGGATGCAAACTAGTACGCATTTCTCTGAACATCTGAACTTTTCAGTTGGCTTTATTTCCTCTAAGTAAATGCTTTTCCCAACACCAAATAAGATGGACTGTTGAAGAGCGCTGAAGATATTACGGCTTAAATCAAGTTCAGTGGTATTACTGTTTATCGAGATCACATTGGATGTACATCAGTTCCCCCTAAACTTAACTTATAAACCATTCAAATGAACTGTCGTCAAGATTTGACAGAATAGTTCTAAAATATTTGGGCGCGGAGTGAAAAGTAGATATTTGTCAAAAATTATATTTGTAAAATCTCAGTGAGATTGAAATGAGTAATTCCAACGTTTCGTTCGGCAATCTAGTCCGAACTTCTTCAGGGAAATTAATCGAAATTAACATAACAGAGGTTTATATATAAAAGGAACATCACTTGTTTTTAAAAACTTTGTCCAATCATGAGTCATTCAACAAGTATAATAAACAAAATTCTATGAGCTGTGATCAAAATTGGACCCCGGACTTACAAATATTGGTCTACCTTTGTTAAACACTTTGGACAGAGTGTGTATGTGTGTGTCGGTCGGTCGGTCGGTTTTCGACATAGAACTTTGCACATATGTGCGGCAGTTCAAGTCGCCACACTCCCTCCTTGTAGCACACAAAGGAAGAGAAGAAAGTAGAAGAAATGCATAATATAGACAGTAAACAGAGATGTGAGACAAAGGAATAGTAATAACGGAGAACAAAACAGTTTGATTGGAAATCATAAGTCCCAAGGAGTGGATGCATCTGCACTATGCATTGATAACAATTTTGAGCCATGTCACCAATTGTTTCCAACCATTGGTTTTTACCGTCCCGAGGACCCCAACCAGGAAGCCAGTCTACACCTTCCTACGTGGCTTAGACTAACTGTTGTGGATTTCATTGACTGGTGCCATGTTTTCGTTTGACCACCATTGGCTAGCTCTTTTCCAGCCTGGCCCTATATCAGCTAACATTGCCCGTCGAGGAAGGCGATGACTAGGCATATGTAACACATGTCCTAACCATCTCAGTCGATGTAATTTCACAGTTTCGTCGACTGATTTCCCCGCCTTACCTAGCACTCGACGCCTAACCTCAATATTGCTCACCTTATTATACCACTTCACGTGGGAGATAGGATGCAGACACCTAAAATCGAACACTGCTAATCTTTTCATGTCTTCTACTCTCAATGGCCAGGTCTCACAGCCGTAAAGGAGGACGGAGCGGACTGTTGAGCAGTACACACGCCCCTTGGTGGATAGTCGGATATCACGTCTACTAAGCCAGAGACGGCGTAAACTGGTATATGCGAACCTAGCCCTCTGTATTCGTGCTGATATTTCGTCTGAGATCAACCCGCTGGGGCTGATGGTACTTCCCAAGTAAGTGAAGTGGTCAACGTGCTCTACCACTTCACTTCCTATTTCTAATCTAGGGGTGGGTGAAGTCCAATCCTGCAGCATCATCTTACATTTTACAGGCGCGAATCGCATGCGAAACATACGGAGATTGTTGATCAAGGTGTTCAGTAGACTCTGCATTTTGTCAGCGTCCTCGCCTAGAAGGACTATATCGTCCGCATATTCTAAGTCAACGAGATTATTCCCTGGTAGCAAGTCGATCCCTGAGTCGCTGAAGTGTGTTAGGGTTAAGTCCATTAGTACGTCTATGATGAAGTTGAACAGGAATGGGAATAATGGGCATCCTTGACGGACGCCACTAGTCGTCACCACTTCAGATGACAACTCGCCATAAGCCCTCACCTGGCTGCATGAGTACGAGTAGAGTGCCTTGATCAGTGCAATGTATTTTCTCGGAATTCCCTTTACAGATAAGCATCGCCAGAGTACCTCTCGGTCGACAGAATGGAATGCCGCCTTAAGGTCAAGAAATATAATGATTGTCGGACGCCGGCAGGATTGCCTATGTTCTAGAATCTGTCGAAGGGTGAAGATATGATCAATACACCCTCTACCTGGCCTAAAATCTGCCTGGTTTTCTCGTGTTTGTGCTTCCCGAGCACCACTTAGTCTATGCAATATTATTGAGCCTAGGACTTTAGATACTATATTAGTCAAGCTAATCCCTCTGTGAATATCACAAGAAGACTTGTCTCCCTTCTTGTATATCGGGATGATCAGTGACTTACACCAACCCGATGGGACTTCCTCTAAATCCCAGACGCTGCCTAGAACCTCAGTTAATGCAGATAGTAAACTGTCTCCAACGTACTTAAATACATCTGGAGTCATTCCGTCAGGTCCCGCTGCTTTGCCTTGCTTCAGATTGGTGACAGCTTTAGTAACCTCGGTTAAGGACGGAGGACCTGTGTCTATATCCCATTCAGGGAGGTGTTGGATGTTCGACAGGTTAAGTGTGGCTGTAGGCCAATTAGACTGCTTTTCATAGTGTTCTTTCCAGCGCTCCAGACGTATATCCTGGAAGCTAATTATGGTGCCATTTTTCTCCGAGATTGTTTCGCTTATCATTTGCCTTTTGCCACCTGTTTCCCTGATAAGCCTGAATAGTTGTCTGGTGTTGTCAATCGCCGATGCCTTTTCCATCTCTTTCGCTTTTGTCGCCCACCACTGTTCACGGTTCTTGCGAAGACTTTTTTTTAGTCTACGTTTAAGTACCTTTCGCTCCTCATCATAATGGGAGCTCGCCGGAATCAGTCTTCTTGCCTCAATCAGTTCGGGTAAACAGTTGTAAACATTTCTTAACGTCTCTATAAGAAGATATGGACAGTCATGAATTTTGACCAAGTATTAATAATTAGTGATACATATCCATTTTTTATTTAATAATAAGAATTTCCTATGCATCAGCTAACATCACAAATCAATAAGTCCGACAGGGTGCTTCTACTAAACTCCAATCCTAAACACCATAATTTTGAAAATACGTCT